ATGCCCTCCTACCTGTAATGCATACCTGGGGAGGCCCAGGCCTCTGTTTTATTTAGGGGAGTAGCTTCACACCAAGCTGGGAGGGACTTAGGCAAGGTACAGCTAACATCAGTACTTTTCCAGACATTCAGGTAACTTTACATTGTACTTCGCTGGTTCGCATCCCAGGCCAGCAACTTGGTTTCTCAGGCTCAATTAACATATCTATAGCCCCTGAACTCAGTTGGGGGAAGGTGAGAGGTAAGGACAAAAGCTTGGGCGGAGTCCTGCTGTTTTCGGCTTCCTGAGCCAGGTTTTCAGGAACTTGGCTGAATAGCTAACACTTGGGAGAGATTCAGGGTGGATGGCTTTTTTGTCTGTAGAACAAAGAACTGTGATGTAGCTAAGATGTTTTTAGTTAATCCTTTAGAGAAAGGCTTGACCTTGCAACCTTTAGACTTGGCTTTAGGAAAATATCACATTTATCTGTGGATTATCAAGGGCTTCTTATATTAAATTAATACATGTAACTGAATATTAGGATGAAAAACAATTTGCCATTGACTGCCAAGTGGCTAGATCTGTTACACTTGGGCCTATAGGGCCTCGAACCTCTGACCAGTCTTACACGATCTGCAACATAAATTCTGATTCATAGCAACCCTGTATAGGATTTCCAAGGAGCAACTGGTGGGTTTGAACCACCAACCTTGCAATTCGCAATCCCATGCTTATTCTACAGCACCATATTAGGACTCCCTTCCAGGTTTAGTCTGTATTTTATTCTCATATTATTTAGAATACACTTACCCTGTGGTGTTGGTGGTGGTTATGTGCCATGGAATCGGTTCCAACTCATAGTGACCCTGTATAGGGTTTCTGAGGCTGTAAATCTTTACAGAAGCAGAAAGCCTCATCTTTCTCCCGTGGAGCCACGGGTAGTTTTGAACTGCTAACCATATGATTAGCAACCCGACTTGTAACTACTACACTACCAGAGCTCTTTTACACTGTGGAAGGGAAGAATACATTAAATGAAGGTTCTCCTTCCCCTCTCAGGGAATGGGACAGGTGGTAGGACTATGAGGCTAAATTGTGGACACAAATTTCTGTACAAATAGACTTCAGGAGGTGTTGACAGGGAGCAGGGTTGCCTAGAATGAAATGCTGAGATTTTTATCATGGGTCATGGCTTCTAGAAAGAATGAGGACAGAAAAGGTATACAGTTCAAATTTGGTTCAACAGATGATTTGTGAATGCTTATTAAATGACTAGGACTTTTTTGTATAAGATATAAAGTGGGGAAAAGAGGAATATACATTAAGGAGAATTATTCCTCATTTTTTTTTTTATGTCTTATATAAGGAAAAAAAGTATAAGGAAGGTATAAGGAAAAAAATAGGGAATAATGCCTTACAGTATCACTCCTTACTTTTCTTATACCTGACACAAAGAGTTACTAGGCTACTTAATGTTGTTGTTGTTAAGTGCCTTGAGTTGGTTCCAATTCACAGCAACCCTATGTAGTGTTTCCAAGGAGCAGTTGGTAGGTTTGAACTGCCAACCTCTGAACTATGGCTCACAGTCCAGTGCTGATTCTACAGCACCACACCAGGAGTTCTTAATAAGCCATAGCAAATTATCTGTTGAACCAAATTGGACCTGTATACTTGCCCTGCTCTCATTCTTTCTAGAAGCCATTACCCATATCTCCATGTTAAAAGTCTCAACATTTCACTTTAGACAACCCTGCTCTCTGCCAACATCTCCTGAAGTCTATTTGTACAGAAATTTGTGTCCACATTTAGTCTCACAGTCCTAGCAACTGTCCCACTCCCTGACAAGAGGAGAACCTTCATTTCATGCTTTCTTCTCCTTCCACAGGAGTCCTGGTGTGGCACTGTGAGCTAAAGTGATGGACTGCAAAGTCAAGTTAGCAGGTTCAAGCTAATCAGCTGCTCCCTGGAAACCCTATACAGGGTCGCTATGGGTTGGAACCGATTAGACAACACTTAACAACAACCCAGGATAAAAATATTTTATTCTCATGCTCCAAATAATATGATGCTAAAGGTACGCCTGACCCAAGCCATGGTCTTTTCAATAACCTCCTATGCATGAGAAAGCTTGACAGTGAACAAGGAAGACCATAGAAGAATTGATGCCTTTGAGTTATGGTGTTGGAGGAGAATATTGAAAGTGCCATGCGTTGCCAAAAGAACCAATAGATCCATTTTGAAAGAAGTGCAGTCAGAGTGCTCCTTGGAGGCCAGGATGGCCAAACTTCGTCTCTTATACATTGGACATATTGTCATGAGGGACCAGTCACTGGAGAAGGATATCATGTTTGGTAAGGTGGAGGACCAGAGAAAAAGAGGAAGACCCCAGCGAGATGGATTCATGAAGTGGCAGCATCAGTGGGCTCAAGTGTGACAATGATAGTGAGGTTGGCCCAGGATCGGGCAGTGTTTCGTTCTACTGTGCATAAGGTTGCTATGAGTTGGTACTGACTCAATGGCACCTAACAATAACAACAACAAAAAATAATGCCTAAATCTTGGATAAGCAAGAAAAACACTGTTGGTACGTGACAGATTTGGACATGAAATAAGATCTTGAATACATTATAAGAGCGTATATAATACACACTCGGCTGCCTTTATCCAACCTTTTTCTTTCTCTTGGATCCTTTTTTTCCATCTTTGGTTTCTGGCTCTCCCTCTGAACACTATTCGGTGATTGCACATCCTCCTCAAACTAACAGTACATACAAAATGCAAGCAACTTTAATTAGGAAACTTCTTCCAAATAGTAGCATAAATTTAAGAGGAAGACCCTAAGCTATTGAAGGGCATGCCATCCTCCAGTAAAAGTTGATGCTTATAGGTAGTTGTTGTTCTTCTTCTTAAGTGCCGTCAAGTTAATTCCAACTCATAGTGACCCTGTATAGGGTTTTCAGTAAGTGGCTGGTGAATTTGAACCACCCACCTTGTGGTTCAAACTTACCTTGTTGTCCAGTGCTTTATCCCACAGTGGCATCCCAGGATGTCTTTGTTGTTGCTGTTGTTAGCTGCCATCAAGTCAGTTTTGACTTATAATGACCTTTAAAGGCCTGGAAATATCATCTTTTCATTGACCCACAGCTTTAAGTATGTAATTTTTTTTGGTCATTGTTATGTTAGATAGTTTATGGGTATCAATAAGGCAGAACACATTGTAGACACAACACACATATGCACACTTGAGCATATACACACAAACACATAAACACACATGCACATGCTCACATAAACGTATACATGCACATGTAAACACATACATACATGTACACACATACACACACCACAACATAGGGTAAGAGCCCAAGCTGACAGACCAATTTTTCTCCTAAAAAAGTCACTAATTAAGCATGAAACTTATCTTTGACACTGAAGAACAAAATACCTTCCAGAATACAGAATGACAAAATGCCTCATCAGAAAATACTGAATCTTAGCAAGGAGGGGAGTGATTAACTTTTCAGTCTAGGAGTGGAGGTCCCTAGGACCATCAAGGGAGAAGAGCAGAGAGCGGGACCCTACCCTGAGAAGCAGTGATGCCTGAAATGGAGCCAGAGATGATGACGAGGAACGATGGAGCAACAGGAGACTTTAGATCCAGAGAGGGAGAGCAACTGTGTACCCATGGCAATGAGACAATATACAATAAAATGAATGTAAAACTAATGTTCTCCCATGTAAACTATCACATAATTCACAATAAAACATTTAAGAAAAAAAAAAAAAAAAAGCTCATGGAAAAATGGAATTAAAAGGTTTGAAGACCCTTTGTATCTCCATAAAAAAAAAAAAGAAAGAAAATACTGAAGCAGTCTCTAAGAGAGGCGGTATCAAAACTGCACGTTTTTATGTCTTTTGAATATATTTTATTTTCCCTTCATGCAATCATGCTTTTACTTCAACAAAAACAAATGCTTGTGTAACTATTAAATATACTTATAGTAAAGAATGGAGTCCTGATGTGGTATTGTAGGATAAACACTGGACTGCTAACCGCAAGGTCAGCAGTTCAAACCCACCAGCCACTCCTTGGAAACCCTATACATGATGTTGATGAGTCAGAATTGACTCAGTGGCCCTTGACAATAACATAATAAAGAATAGTGTTTTAGTGCAGAGTTTTATAGGTAGTTATTGTTGTTGTTAAGTGCCATCATGTCAGTTCTGACCCATAGTGACCCTGTATAGGTTTCCAAGGAGCGGCTGATGAGCTTGAACCACCAACCTTGTGGTTCAAACCAACTTTGCAATTTAGCACATTAACCCATAACTAATCATATTTCCTAAGCAATTTTCATTTGCAAGTGTAGAGAGTCACGTTGATAACTACTCCTTATGATCAGTCACTGAAATAGACAACAATTTGTATTTTCATTCAACAGATAAGGAAATAAATGCACAAAGATGAGAAATAACTGACTTAATCATTTGGTGATATGGTGGAAAACTAAAATTTGAAATCTCAGCCTTCCCAACTTCCTCAACCCTCGAGCTATGTGACCGATTTTGCAATAAGAAAGCCTATTTATATGACTTTCCATGGGACCAAGAAGTCAAAACCACAACAGGGAAAAAGCAGGAAGACATTGCTTTCTTGGCAAGGAATTTCAAAGGCAGCAGCATTAACCAATTTCAGGGCATTTTGCTCTATTGTGGGGGCTGCCCTGGATAAGCGTGACTACAAAGTGCTTGAATGAAGAAGCATATTCTTTGAGTAGGCTGTTAACCTTCTTGTTTTTAAAAAATTAAAATAATCAAGCACTGTGCTTATAAGAGTCAAAAGAAAGGGCTTTCACTTTGAACCCTCTGACCACTTCTTCCTTTTCATAGTAAGATCTCAATTGATCTGAAAATAAATCGTCAACCAAGTTCTGGAATGCAGCCAAAAAGTTTCCCTCCCTCCTTTCCACTAAGAGTAGGAGAATTACATATATACTGTGCCCCCTGCAAACTCCACAGACCTTTAATGTGCAGTAAGTTGAGGATGCTCGTGTTGGTGTCAAGCAGAAGCCACTGGCCACTCTCCACCGTGACGTTGTCGCCATCTTGTGGTATGCCTTCAGGAAACCAGCTGTGAGCCCTTGACCATCTCTGGCAGAACTGAAAAGAAAACTGGACCTGGAAAACAGACAGGTGTTTTGTTTGTTTTTCTTTTGATTGTGTTGTTTTGTTTTCTATTTGTATTAAGTAGGATAGTATGGGTGATTCATCAAAATAGAACCTCTTACATGAATTAAAGTTAATTTAAATATAACTTCAATGTCCTCAAGAAAATTAGTTACCCATTTTTTATACTACTAACCCAAATAGAGAAAACTAATGGAGGGGAAAAAATTATACTTGGAGTGTCTCAGTGCAGGACCCCCAGAATTCTCCAATAGTACAATGCTATATTGTCTTATCTTTTTTCCACCCAAAACAGGGTCCCCTTCCACTTAAGAGGTGGGGCCCATTCCATTTTTTATTTTCACAGACATGTATTGAGTCTCGGACAAAAAGTCATAAATAGCTTGGAATAGGGAGAATTAAAATATTCTGCTTGATGGGTGGCATTTTGCTTTATGTAATTGGTATCATTTTTCACTGGCTCTACTGCCAAGTGTCCCTGTTTTATAGGAACATTCCTCTTCTCAAGTGCTCAAACCCATCCTCCCACTCCATTATTTTATGTTATTTTTCCCCTGTATGCTGGGTGTATCCGTGCTGAACAAATCCCATGCATAGATGAAATGCCGACTGACTTCAGATGACAAGTAAATAGCTTGGAACCTCTGGGTCAGAATCATGGGGCAAGACTCAGAGAAGGTTCCCAGATGCAGATTCAGTCCCTCTCCATCCCAGTCTTTGGTCGCCCCTCAGAACTTTTGGGTTTCCTTTTAATTTGCAGTCACACTGAAGTCATATGTTCTTCAAAACAAGTATAGAAACCACAGAAAACAGTTAGCTTTCAGCTCCTGCCGGAAGTAGAGATGTCTGAATGCCCTATGCGGTTATGGGACTATAATTATGGACTTGGTAACTGTTGTCAAGTCAGCCGCCAACTCATGGTGATTCCATGCACAACAAAATCAGTTCACTGTGATCCTGAATTTTCAGAAGTAGGTCACCAGGCATTTCTTCTTAGTCTGTCTTAGCCTGGAAACTCTACTGAAACCTGTTCAGCATCACAGCAACATGAAACTTACAGATGAGTGATAGCCATGCTTGAGGTACATTCGCCAGTAACTGAACCCTGTTCTCCCACATAGAAAGAGTTAATCCTACCACTGAGCCACGTCTGCTTTCACAATTATTAATAATAAAATGAAATATATACCTCAAAGTAATGCATACAACATGTATAAGCCTCTCTCCACACCATTCTTCCACCCAACTTCCAAACAAATGTGAAGCCTCTGAAAAGGCGTTAGAGGCAGATGGGAATATTAAGAAGGGAAAGCATGTTTATAATACCAACAACTGTGCTTACACTGAAAATAGTGCCCTGGAGTATCTCTGAGAGAGAAAATAGAAAAAAATGTATGGCCGGAAGATCCAGCAGAGTTTCTAGGAGAACACACCAACACCAAGAATTATACCCAACCAAATTACCTACAAGTCTGTAACTAGGAAAGTCATGGTCTTTTAGTTTCTAAGACTATGGCTCATAAGACAGAAAGGTATAAGACACAGTGATAACCAATCCCAGCACCACAGAGAGAAGAATGGGTTATATGTGAACATCATTTTGAGTCACACAAATCATGTCACCATGAGGACTATCCATCGCCTCTCCTATTCAAAGTAGGAAAGTACTTTAACTCCAGATGATTTCACACTGAAGTTGGTTATGTTGTTCTTAGGCACTGTCAAGTCAATATTGGCTAGGTTATAGGAGATGAAATTTCAAAACATGTCTCTTATAAAGCTAGACATTCTTACAACCTCTTAATTCATTTTTGTAGAATGCGTAAAGAGAAAGGGAGGTGAAGAAGAAACTGATGTGGAATAAAGAGGTGAGAGAATGGAAAAAAGAAAGGGAATCACCTGCACAAGAGAGTGAACATTTACTTAAAGTAGCCTGGATTTCTAGAAGGTCCGACTCAAGAGAAATCCTCTCTCTTCATTTCAAAGATGTTGTTTCACACAGTGCTTCTCAGCTTAGAATTGTTTAAACTACAATTTTAACAATTCCACTCTAAGCCTACTGAATCAAAAGTTCAGGCAGTAGGGACCAGGATTCTGTAATTTTAATAACTTCCTCAGATGATACTTATGCATTAATATTTGAAAACCAATTCAAGACAAAGGGTTAGAAAGGAGGAAAATATATTGAAAATGAAACCAAGATGTTTTCTCTAAATGCAAGGGCTTAATGAAGACCAACAAGCTGAACAGGGTGGTAGGTGGAAGGACTCAGGAGAAGGAGGAAGAATTCACCAGTGTAGCTCTTTCTGATACACTAACTTCATGTCCACCGCCCAGCCACAGAAGTACAAAGATAATCAGAACCCATGGCCTTCACAGTGAAAAGTTCAGAAATAGTGAGACAGTAATGAGCTATTGAAGAAGATCAACAGAAGACTATCCCAAGGTGTCTTTCATTAATTAACTTACTAATACTTTAGAAGTTCTTATCATTAGGATTAATGATATCTAACTCTACTTTAAGAACTTTCTCTCTTCATCTGAAGCACTTGTGTATCATTAGGTACACTTCATCTATGACAAAATCTTGGCCTGGCCTGTCAGCCTATATTTTCAGATCTAACCCAGTGGGGTGGGAATGTCAAATGTTGTTGTCTCATCTTTAACAACAAGGAAGTAAAGGTTCAAAGCGCATATGTGCTAAGTTAAAGACAATAGTAGGGGAGACAGCATTGATTTAGACAAAGCAACTCCCCACCTCAGGCCTCTTTACACACCTCTCCTGGAACATTCTTCCCCTGAATATCTGCATGGCTCACTATCCTACTCTGATCAAATGTTATGTTCTTCTTAGTCTCCCTATCTAAAATAGCACTATCATACTCTCTCCTTTCACACTGTTTCATTTTCCTCCCTAGCATTTATCACTATTAGATCAGATCATTACTTGTCTATTTGTTGATCACCAATTGAGCTTACTTGAAGGCATCTTCAATGACAGTAAGGACTTTGTTTTTGTCATGGCTCTATCCCTACCTCCCTAGCCAGTCCCTGATAGTAAGTTCTTAATAAAAATGAATTAAATGTTTATTAAATGAATCTTCTACCTGCTAACCCCATGTATACATTTATAGATATTATACATCTCTACCCAATACACTAAAAGCAATGGTAGTGTAGTGGTTACGAGTCAGGCTGCCAACCTCAAGGTCAGCAGTTTGAAACTACCAGCAGTTCCATGGGAGAAAGATGAGGCGTTATGCTCCCATAAAGATTTACAGCCTCGGAAACCCTGTGCAGGGTCATTATGAGTCGGAACCAACTCCACAGTACTTAACAACAACAACAAACCCAATACACTAGGTGGACAAACATTTAACAAGACCAAAAGCACTTTGAAATACCCCATGCCCTAGATCTCCTGGTCTATTGGATTTGGCCCAATGCTTTCAAGATCTATTTAAGCTTAAACCAAATAATGGGAAATACATATTGATTAGAACCTGAGTGGCAGATTCATTCTTCCTATTAATTATCCCACTGACTTTTTTCTTTAACTATAAGGATCTCTCTTCAATGTGATACATTTCAAATGCATATAATTTTTAAACATTTAGTTTCAAGAAATCTATGACTATTGATATTCAAACTTCTCTTTGGTATAATAAAGGTATCTTGAAATGCATACATTTTTATTGGTGATTCATGATTTAACATAAAAAAATCATTAAATATCAAAAGAAGTACATGGGTGATCGAAAGGTTTTAACACACTCTAATGATAACTGAAGAGTTGGAGGTACCAGTCCATCCAGGAAAACTTAGAAAAAAAGTGTGACAATCTACTTGTAAACAATCAGACACTGAAAACCCTGTGGAACATGGTTCTACTTTTACACACATGGGGTTGCCATGAGTGGGGATTGACTCATTTTGTTTTGTTACTAAAAGAACAAAAAAATGAGTCTCGACCTACTTACCATATAGCTAGGGAAGTAGAGCCATTTACTTCCACAATTACACATTGACAGTAAATCCATGATTACAAGCAGGTAGGCTGGAGAATTTTAGCTCCTTCTCATTTCTGTGTTAACAATGCTGACAGTATTAGTCTTTACTCAGGACTCCTAGGACAATGCCCTATGAAATACTAGGAATGGCTCATCTTTCAACAAAATGGATTTATACAGTGGCTGCAAAAATGGGCTCAAACACAGTAATAGTTGTGAGAAAGGCAATGTTTCGTTCTGTTATACACAAATTTTCTATGAGTTGGAATCAACTCAATAGTACCTAGCAATAATAACATCTCCCAACACCTTCATCCTCCAATCCTTATCACTTTGGTCCAATCAAGCAAAAAGGGATATTGACAGCATTGATCACAGAGTTCATATCAATATATTTGAAAGTCTATCTGTTGACACCAACATGACTTTTTGTTGAAAACCATACTCTGGTTGCACACACATCTACTACAAGTTGTTTCCACCACAGTTCTGAAGGTGCTTAGCATTTACTTCAGATTTTTTTCTTTGAGCATGTGGGAGCAGGAGTAGAAATAGAGATATAAGTGTTAGAAGAATAGAATAAAGACATAAGAACTGTCCAGAACATGCTCTCATCTTTACCTCAGCACATACAGCCCCTGATGAACCAAAAAGAAACAAGTAAAATCTTTCCTGCCTCAGCTAGGAAGCTTGTGTAATTTGTTTTCTTCTTGCAGCATGTCAGCACATCTCTGAACTTCAGGGAATGTGCAGTGTCTGCAAATCTTACATGTCACTTAAATGTACTTGCAACACCACCAGAGTTATCTTGAAAGAAGTCATTGATCACCAACTTGGAACACCAGGCAAAGCAAAGACCTATTTGTGAGCATATGTGTTGAACTGGCGTGGAAAGTCACAGCTTTGTGGATGACAAAAACAAGGAAAAACTGTTTTGATATTTTACCAGACTGTCTCTTCCTCAACATGTAAATCCAAAAA